CATATTCCACGTTAAAAATCCACTCATTTTGTTTTTTTCTTAAGAGAACTACTATCAGGGTCATTGATTTATAGGAGAGAATTCCTTTTGTGTGGTCCTAATCTAGTTCTCTACTAAGGTAGACATAATATTTTTATATCATCCCTGTCAAAGTACTTGCCATCCTCTTGGACAGTTGGTACCTTTTGTGATCCCTCGACTTTGATTTATTCTACATATCCCACTGTGGAGTGAATCACCTTTGGGAATTCTCATGGCAGTCCTGGTAGTAGGCAAGAAGCATCATCTGAAGGCCCAGAGAGGGAGTAACTTGTTTTTTACAGACCTTTCATCTGGAATAAGATATATTGTGTTTACTCATGTTTGGAATTGACAGAAAGCAAATATGAAAGAGGCCTGTTAAGCTTGAGATAATGCAAAACTTGGCTGGTAATAATTGGTGACTGTTTAATATGTAGAGCATTTCTGAAGTCTCTAAATTTATACCAAGGGACAGTCTGTTTCCAAAGCCAAATAGCCCCCAGCGAGGCCACAGTGAGGCCATGGGGAATGAGGGGCAAATGAGATCCCTCTGGATGGCAGAATCAGAGGTTATTTGATTGTATAACCAAGGAACTCAATGCATTAACAAAGCAAGAATTCTATTCCTGCCCAGCAGGATTTGGTATGTGTCAGAGATTAGTGATTAATGTTTTCTTTTTTTCCCATTCTCTCCTTTCCTAAATAGTAGTTTTCCTTTAATTGTATCTATTCTGTTGTTTGTCTATCATTCTATATTGTGGAAGTTCAGACAGATAACTTATCTTTTAAAGTTATGGGTTACTGAGCTGTGAGGAACAGCCATGGCCTGAGGGAGATGCTGGCATCGCCAGATGTAGCAACGGGATAAAGTGTGGAGGTGGACTCCCCTGAGGAAGGGATTAATGCATGCCACTTAAAACATATGTATGGGAATAATGGTGTCATGGATGTTGGATAGCCAAGGGTATAAACGATTCTTAATTTTCTCAACTACAGAGGCAAAGAAGCTAAAATACTCATCATCTCATGTTCTCTTGCAGCAAAGGTGGAACCATGTGACTCAGTTTTGCCCTTGGAGATGTAAGCACAAGTTGCTGAGTTGGTAGTTGGTATTCTATAGAAGGCTTCGAAAGCACAAGATAAACCATAATGCTCCTTCAGCCATTTGCTCTTTTCTCTGTTTCCTGGATTCACTGAGGATACAAGAATTGGAACTTTAGAAACCACACTATAAATGTATGACTTAACTGCCAATGGCAGAACAGCCTTGATCCTTGATGCTACCCCAAAGCGTTTGCCCTTCACTGCCTTTCTATGACCTTCTTAGTGCATGAGTAAAATAAACACCTGTAAGTTAAGCTATTATGAACAGAGTTTTCTTCATCTTTTTTTTTTTTTTTTTTTTGTCATGCTTACAGAGACATGTATTCCTTGGCCAATAACTTTCTTTCATATACTTTGAAGTTGGAACGTTAACAGCCAAAACTCTTAGCCTAGCGCTGTAGCAATCTGGGAGACAGAATGAATGTTAAAAATTCAGAATAAAAAGAAAATTTTATTCAATCTTGATTCTCCAATACCCAGTTCAGTGCCTGGCATATAGTAGGCAATAAAAATGTTTGCTGACTGGTGCTATTTATTATATAGTTTCAAGAAACTAATTTGTAATAATACAACACCTAAAACATGAATTAGAACTTATTGAATGTTTAGTGGCAAATTTGAATTTAATGCATAATAACAATACAATAATTAACATTTATTCAATTCTTACCCTAGGCACTATGCTCATTTTTTTGTGTGTTTTAAAAAAATTCTCACGGCAATCATATAATCTAAGTATTATTATTAGAGAGTTTCAGAGATATTTAGATAATTTAGCCAAGGTCACACAGGCAGGTGGTACCAGAGCCAGGATTCAAGGACAAGTTTATCTCCCTCCAAACCTATGCCCCTAACCACTATGTATTAGTAAAATATTCTAAATCTGCTGTCCTAAAAGAAACATATCCTTTGATCCTGAAAAACCCTTTTTGGCAGAACAGCAAGTATATAGAAAATGTTTGTCTGTGTTAATGGTTATACATTACTAATCAATTACCACTTCCTAGATGATTCGTTATTTAATTCTTTTTAGTTGACAAATCAGTTGGATTTTTCATATGCACACATTGAAATAAGTTAGCTAAATAAAGCTATTCACACAGAGAGTTTCACGTTATCTCTAGGTTGCTGCTGGGAACCTAGATTATTTGTAGCATTTTTATTTTAAAATCCTGGAGTCATTAAAATGTGACACCACAAACTGTATAGTAGGATATTGATAAGAACAAGGATGCAGGGGGTGATTCAGTAGATACTTAAATTGCAAAAAATATAGTGCAAGTCTCACACATCCTGCAGACTACAGGTTTAAATGATAATAAATAATAGTTATCACAAAGACAAAGGAAAAAATGCCATGAAATCCAATAGCCCAGTGAGAAATCTGCTAATACAGGTGGTCAAGCTTATCCCATTTCATTGTCAAAGGGAGGCTATTTATTTGCTTCTGGATAGTTAAATTACAGTCATTCATTGCTGAAAGTTTTCTAGCAGGCAGATGTGAATCTAAAGCTCTAGTCTTTAGAGACAAACTTTGTGAGAAAAAGAGAATAAGGATGTATTTGTTTCATAGGCAGCACAATTGATAAGGTAAAAATCTTTGAGCTACTACAGAAATACAAGCAACTTTAAACATTCCAATTGGAATCTCCTTACTGTGTTCCTTGGGCATGGACCAAGGGCCAAAATTCTGGCTAGAAAAAATAATCATATTAGAGGCTCTTTAAAATATTTCCTCTTTGATAGCCTCATGACTAGGTCATTAGAGTATGTGTACAGTGTGTGTGCATGTGTGTGTGTATGTGTGAGAGAGAGAGAGAGAGAGGGAGAGAGAGAGAGGGAGAGAGACAGAGAGAGATACCTTGCACCTACCAGTATGCCCCCAAACAGAGGGGAACTCTTCATAATGCTTCCTTAGAAGTTATGAAATCAATGTCGACTTTGTTTTACTGTTGCACTATAAGATACTAGTGGTTTTTATCCAATAACTAACTAACTTACTATATATTCTGAGAACATTTGAAACAGTGGAGATTATGTACCCTCTTTTCATTATTTCTACACTTCTACAGTAGAGTAACTTCTAAAATTCAGGCATTTACCAACAGAATATAGCAAAGATATTCCAATATCAATTTTTATAAGCATTTTTGTAATCATTTGCTTGCCAACAGGTGTTGCTATCAGTCCAAATTGAAGTTATATATTTTGTATTACCTAACAGCTATATTTTATCATTTGTTTTTCTGGGTACAGGAAGTTGCTTAAGTTGCTATTGACTCTTTGCCAAGTAACCTTTAAACCAAGACATGTACATAATTTCCTTATTAATTAAAAATATTAACTTCATCAATCTTAGTTCATGACCAAATCCAAAGCTTCCAGGCATAATCCTTATGAGGAATAAATTACACAGCTGAAGGAATTCAAATTCTAATTTATACTGCTTGAATAACAATTCATATGTTATAAAGGACAATGAGTCCACCAAAGTAATCTACATGGGAAGTGACTCGCAAAAAAAGGTTAACAGATATGGGCTGTATCAGCTTGCTAGAAGACATCTGAAGATGAAGGAACCAAATATTCCTCTTATTATCTGAGGTTGAAATTGGAAAATGCTATCAGAGAATGTTAGTAATCATAACAAAATCCAAATGACTGAAAATTTGATTACTTCATTATTATATCACTCAGCTCTTATGGGAATAGTTAAGTATAAGTATATACATGAATATATTAATAGCATAAATACATTAGATCAAGATCTCAATGTCACTTGGCTATTCTACCTAAAATTTTGAGAATCTGGAGATAAACAATTTCAGTTCTATTAATCAGAAAAAATATTTAAAAACTTAGGTTGCATGTGAACAAATCCAAAATGACCATTATTTTAAAGTAAATATCTACCATGTATGCATATATTATAAATAATTTTTCAAACTTTTTATTTAGAAATAATTATAGATTTACAGGAAGATGAAAAGACAGTCTAGAAAGATCCCATGTGTCCTTTAGCCAGTTTCCCCAAAGGCTACCTACATTAACATAATTATAGTACAATATCAAAACCAGGAAATTGACATTGGTATAATATGTGTATATAGTTCTATGTTACATTATCACATGTACAGTCTTGTAACCAGGATGTAAAACTTTTATAAATGCTTTCATTTATTTTTTTAGATACAAAAATGCATTATAATTTCAGATAGAAGGTTCCATACTACTTATTCTACATAACAATAAATAATAATCGAAAGTTACCAATATCTAGGAAATTATTATTTAGGAAAACTCTATATATAAAGGCCAAAGTGAAATTCTAGCAATACAGACAAGGTATACTTCAATTAAACTCATTTTCCTGCACAGATCAGATAACTCTATCATTCAACAGTCAGCTCTCCCCAATATGAGAATGAAAGAAATCTTTAGCACACAATTCACAAAAGACAACTTGCTAATACTACTACTCTAAAACTCTGTTTACCAGCAAAAGTCCGAGATACTCATACATAGACACAGACACACACCTACTTTCTCAGGCAGAACAGAACACTTCATGAGTGTCCTTAAATCACTAATGAGCTTACCATAACAAAAAAGTACATTAATAAACATACATAAAGAAACTGAAATAAATCAGCCAGATTCTTCCAAGTCAAATCTATTGTGGAGTGAGTTTCTTATTTTCCCTAACAAGTAAATATAAACCAAATTGTTACAAATCCCACTTCTGAGTCAGCTCACAGTAAAAGAGAAATATTTGATCTCTCTCTCTCTCTCTCTCTCTCACACACACACACACACACACACACACACACACACACACACGCACACATGCAATCAAATCTAGACATCAATCTTACCTTGGCCATCTGTGCCTGCACGCCATTTGCCTTGAGAGATGCTACCGCTTTCTGTGCAGCTGCGGGACTGTCAAAATCTACAAAACCATAACCTGTGAAAATACAAAACCCCTTGTTAATACTCAAAAAAGCTGCATCTCTATCATACTGATGAAATGCAGCTTTAGGGTCAGACTTGCATTAATTTCCTCTGAGACAGGACCCTGTTAAGGGTGGCGAACCTGCAGCCTCAAGGCCCCACGTGGCCCTCAAGATCGCCAATTTCAGCCCCTCAACCAAATCCAAATTTTACAGAACAAATCCTGGGATTTGTTCTGTGAAGTCTGGATTTGGTCAAATGGATCCAGAGGCCACATGTGGCCCCAGGGCCACAAGTTCCCCACCCCATTACTTTCTTCAGTGGATTTTCTACAAAAGTGAGGAGCACAAAAAGCTGGAAAATATAGAAAGTCTATCTCTAAGTTAATTTTTTAAACCTCAAAACATTGATGTTAACAAAAGCCATGATACGAACTTGCATAAGGTTATCAACTACAACAGCGCCTGGCACAGAGTAGGCATTCAATAAACACGTTGCCTGCATCAATAAATAAAGGCTGTCAATGAGAGTTAGAATTTAAACCTAGTTCCATTTGATTACTATGTTCCTCCATTACAAGACCTTGTCTCTTTCAATGACAATTTCTTAACTATTCTGGCTGTTAAGTGATCAGTGATAAAGAGTGATTAGAGAGATAAATATTCAAGTTTCTTTTAAAAAATAAGAAAAAAAGAACTTCCGTCACTTATTGGTTATTAGGGTAGAATCTGAAAAGGGAGTAAGAGTTGCCTGTACTGTGCTGATTGTGTGCTTATGTGGATGTGTATATACGGTGAAGCCAAAGAAATAGCCAGTAAAACAGAATCAATGAAAAGGCAATTTTGCATGCCTTAAGCGAGCTGATATTAGTCCAGAGCTTAGCCTAACAGCAACATAAACTGCAAAGCATATTTCATAATATAAATGCTCAAGAATGCGTATGAGGGCAGCTTTGTTTGGCACGCCTAAAAAGCCCACCATACGTATCCTCCACCTCTTCTCATCTGTCAGGCAGGGATTTGTCTGTATTCTCACACTTGTCTCATTTAGAAGTTTCAAGGTGAGCCACCGAAGCAAACCTACTAACCATGTACTGTGACACTGCCCTCCCGCCCCAAAATAACCAAAGAAGAGTGCAAGGGAATTCAATTACCAAGTTGTTTCTTTTAATTAACTTTTTAATTTTCTCTCCTCGAATCTCGTCTTCTTTTTCTCCCTCCCAGCATGTTATCCTAAAATGAACTTGTTACACAGCAGTGTACCATAAAATGCTCTTGAAAAGCTGAGCAGAGAAGCTGTGAAGTTTGTATTTCTAATCCAAGAGGAAGTCTGTGCTGTAAGTACTGCTAATTCTTCTCTTCCCACAAAATTCAAACTAGGTGGGTAATATGAGTATCACCACCCACTAAGATGAATAAAAGAGGGGGAAAAAACAGAAAGAAAAGGCAGAAATAGTTAAGAAGTGGAATCATGGGGAGAGGAAAGCAAAACTAAAATTTGGACATTATCGCCCATATGCCAGTTGCTGTGCTGGGTATTTGACACACTGACGACTGGTGAAGCCGTAATAACTTCCTGCGCTACTGGCCTCATGCACGTTCTACATATGAAGAAACTGTGACCTAAAATCACAAGCCACTGGGTGGGCAGATTCAGGATTTGAAGCCAAGTCTGCATATGCTCTTTCAATTACACCATACAACAAAATGCTTTACAATCCCACTTCATAAACTATTTCTACTAGCCTCTGAAGTGCACCCGGCAGAGGCTCAATTCTTGAGAATTGCTTAAATTTGGAAGTTAAGATAGGGAATAAAACAATTCTATAAAAGGATTCAACCAAGTTCATTTAATTAGTACATTTGTTAATGGCGTGGTTGAGTTCTACTGAGAACTCTCTAGATGAGGTTTGGACAAGCATCTCCTTCCACCTAATACTTTGGTCAATCTTCCTCATCCATTCCTAGGCTCTTTGTTCATTCAGTAATGAAATTCTTTGTCAGGCACAGTGTGAAGTGTAGGGAATATAATGGTGGGAAAAAATAGCCTCAGTTTCCACTCTAAGCAACTTAGAGTTGAGTTGGGAATGGACAAGAACCAAATAACCATACAAATGAACCTGGAATTACAGAATGGCATGTCCTGTTTGAGAGGAAATGAGAGCATATAATATAGAATCTAACTATTGCTTGTTCATTATTGAATGTTTTAAGGAAGCAGTGGCATGAAATGATCTGCATTTTTATTAATACAATTATCATCATAGTTGGAGATGGAATTGTTGTGGGAGAGGTGGGCAGACAGAGTGGGAACAGCTATGGCTTAGGGGCTCCTGCAGCAGTCCAGAGGAATGGCAGCTGGCAGGAAATGGATGGGGTGAAATGGAGGGTGTGAGTTATATTTTGAAGGCAGAATTAACGGGACTTGGTGATGGATTGATTGGGTTGAGAGTAAGGGAGATATAGCCAAGTAGTACTACTGGGAATTTGTTGCCATAAGCCATTGGGTGAGTAGAGATGTGATTTACTGAAGTGGGGAGACTGTAGGAGGATCCAACAGCAGACAGGGAAAATTAAAATATTAGTTTGAGACATCTTGAGTCTGAAATGCCTGTGAGACATCTAAGTAGAAATGTCAAGTAGCAGTTGGATATACTAGGCTGGTGCTCAGAATAAGGGATGGTAGTGGAGATACGAAGTAGGAAAGCAACAGCATAAAGGTGTTATTTACAGAGATAGAAATAGACCAAAATGCCTAAGAGTAAGTATTAAAAGGGCCCAGGTTTAAAACTTGAATAACTTCAGCATTTAGCATCAGATAAGAAAATGAGATTGCAAAGAAGGCTGAAGGAGAATCAGAGGAAGAAGGAAATGGAAAGGGAATAGGATGTCTGAAAGCCAAGGTTAAGAACATGTTCCAAGAAGGAGGGAGAAATCAACTGTGTGAAATGCCACCGAAAGTGTGAGCAAGGAGAGAGCTTGAAGATGTCCACGTGTTTAGAAACATGGATGTCGTTATCATGACTTGCTTCAGGCAAGGAGCAGGGACTGAAGCCTGCTAGAGTAGTCGAAGAATAAGAGAAAGATGAGCCGGAAGGTTTGCAGGTCTCCTTGCAGTTATCTTGGCTGCAAAGGAGAATTAAGAGACAGATTTAGCTAACAAGGGATATGAGGTCAACCGAGTTGATTTTGCTTGCTTGCTTTAAGGTAGGAGATGCTAAACCTGTGTGTTTGTGTGTGTGTGTGTGTGTGTGTGTACACACGCACACGTGTGTATTCCCCACCTGATTCCAGTGTGAAGCCGGGGTAGAGAAATGCTGAGTATTCATTTAAGTTATTCAACAAATATTTATTGACCACCTTCTATAGGATAGTTATCATTCTTTGTAATTTTTAATATTGATAGGAAAGATCAAGCAGAAAATGAGATTAAAGCTTCAAAAGGACAAGGGGATAATTTATAGAACAATATTTCTGAGTAACTGAAGGGGTAGAGGGATATGGAACACATCTGACATATCTGAAAGTGCTGCCCCTTTGCTGAAAGAGGGACCCTCCCCTTTGCCCTCTGTAACTGGAAAGAGGAAAAAAGAGCACTCTTGGTGACTAGGTGTTATTTCTTTGTAATCCCTGGGTACTGGGACTGTAGACGGTATCTAACACATAGATTATGCTTAATCAGTATTTTTCAAAATATATTGATAACATATTTAAAAGATTCCAACTTCATGGCACTACCATGGGGATTAACGGATAAAAATATTTATTAATAGTTTTCAACTATAAAGAACAATATAAACGCTAAGTGGTCAGAGTTCTGTTTCAGCCATGCTGCCGCCCAGCAAGGCAGCCCAGGGTCTCAAGACTCCCATCATCTGCTCTAGTGCGGCTTCCTCCCTTTCCTTCCACCCCCGCACGTTACACAGGATATTGCGAAATCAAGATGCTGACCTCCAGGGCTGAACTCCAATCCAAACAGAGGAAATTTCTGTGAAGGCATGAGACACCCCAAGCTTTCTCTGAATCAGGGAAGTTATGCTAAACTTTGTGAAAAGTGTGCTTATAAAGAGTCATCACTCCAGCAGGAGAGAGAGTGGCCACTTTGTACAAAACAACTGTTCCGATGGCTCCACACCAAGAGAGGAGCAAAGATTCCATAAACAAAATTATACATAAACGACAAGCTACCGAATCTGAAATATTTCACTGAGTTATGTGTTTTTCATATATATCTACTTTCACTAGTTAGAATGAAAGTTGAGGTAAAAATGTCTCAAGCAACTCTGAAAAATACTCCCATTCTAGAAATAACCATCGCATCCCTGAGTTTTACATGACAGTAGACACTACATCACAATCAGAAGAAAACAAAATGAAATATGAGACTGCCCCTAAAGAATAATGATGCATTTACTAAGGAATAAAGCCACTTTAATTTGGTCTGGTTTGGTTTCAATTTGCTTTCCTTAATGACAAATAATCAAGTCTGGGTACAGCAACCCCTGTACCTACATCTGGTGTGGGGAAGGGTAGGGAGATTAGTTCAGCTCCAGCAAATAATGCTTTATGGTAACTGCTAAAATCCTCAACAAAACAGCCGCTAATGCTAACCATCGGAAACTCCGGCCCCAGTGGCTGTAAGCCCACCCGTCTCACTCTCTCAATTATATAATTAAGCTTGGCAGCAGGCTCAAATGAATTAAAACTGAATGTCACTGTTTTCTCCACACACCCCTGTCCTTGTTTTTCTTCCTTGTCAGGGGGAGAAGGCCAGCAGTTCTGCAATTAGCGGGAAGCAGAGCAGTGAGAAAGAACCAACTCTGTGATAATTAGGTCATTTGCCAAATGTACTCGTTCCATTGGCAGATATAATCAATGCTTTCCTGAAATGCTTTAAACCTGTGTGTTAATTTAAAGTTTTCCTGTTTTTTTATTGCACTGAAAAAGTGGTGAATTTATAGAATACATATATTTATTTATATTTTATATATTTATTTATACAGAATATAAAGAA